GGTGGTCAGACTTCATGAGTGTTCAGAATCAGGAAATGAAGTTATTGGAAACCAAGGAACTAAAAAAATTGATGTAATTTTACATTATATGCACATATAATCAACATTTTTACAAAGCCCTGAAAGACTTGCCTGCTTTGAGATGACAGATTTATAGAAAACTATAAATTGAGAATTAAATGTTTAATAAATGTCTACAAAATATAACTTTATGGATTTTCATGTTTACAACATTTCCTTTCATTTGGAAATAACTGTACATAAGAGTTTCTTCTCATCTTGTAATAATTTCTGAATATGCTTAATGATTTTGGACAACCATAGCCACAATGAATCGGTCTTGATCAAATAATTTTTAAAACTTTCAAACAGTTTCACAGAAAAACAAATGTGTGTGTGTGTGTATTATTATTATTTTTAAAAAAATTTTTTTTACAGAGTCTTATACTGTCACTTGTGATGAAGTGCAGTGATGTGATCATGGCTTCCTGCAGCCTTGACCTCCTGGGCTCAAGCAATCTTCCTGTCTTGGCCTCCTAAAGTGCTGTATTACAGCTACCACGTGTAGCCAAAAAATATGTGTTTCTGATGGTGCTGGATTTCTATACGTTTTCTATGATGCTTAAGCCTATGAAGGTCTTAAAACATTCGCGGCAAATATAGTTTGAATGGTTTAATGGAACCAGTTGTTGGCTTCCAAAAGATCAGGTGATTTTTTTTTTAGTCCAACTGTTGTTGTGGTGGATCAGTTAATTAGGTGTTTTGTTGTAAAGTGGCAGCCCAACCATGTTTCTCTTGAGCTAAAATCTACCCTGTTAAGACTGGTACAAATGACCTTATGCCTAAGCAGAACAGATAACTATAAGTTGTTTAGGGATTTTGTTTCTTATTTAACTATATTTTCTTCCTGCAGACATGCTAATAACTGTTCTGGGTTACTCAGCTGTGCCCAGAACTCTAATCACCAAACTTGGTGACTCCCATATACTGTCTTCATGAAGTATCTGTTGTCTGACTGCAAAGCACATTGAAATTGGGCATCTCTACCATGAGGTCCTTGGCATCTCGAATATGAAAAGCCTCAAATAGAACCCATAAACTGTTCATAAATGGGTTTCCCATATGATCTATAAAATTTCCATAAACCTGTACTCCTCCCCAACCTTTATTTCCAGTCTTAGTGAATGGCACACTCTCCACTCAGCTGCCCAAACCAGACTCCTGAGAGCATTCTTGACTCCTCTCTCTTGTTCCATAGCCAATTGCTCACCAAGTCCAGTTGATTTTACCATTTGTTCTGGAGTTAGTCAGACTTTAGGTTAGAATTTCAGTCCTGCAATGATTTCTCTGTGTGGCCCTGGAAAATTACCTTACCTACAGGTGCCTCAGTGCCTCTGTTGGTAAAATAGGCCTAACAATGGTATAGTTTAGGTCAACTGTGAGGAATAAGTCAGCTAAGGCACACAAATAGCTTAGAATAGGGCGTGGCACACAGTACAGAATACAGAAGTATTGGTTCTTTGTTGCTATTACTACATTCAAAATGAATGCAAAAAATCCAAAGAAACGAAAACAAAACCAAGACGGGTTGTTGTTTGTTTTATGACCCTGCATCATTGTGTAACAAGAACAGTTGTTTCCAACCTGTGCTAAGTTCTAAGGCTACTTGGTTATCATATTCCCACAGTGGCAGTCTTGTGAGGGTTGACAATCATAGGAGAACTGATTGGGCATTATGGTGATTTGTATATAGTCATGCTTTTTCATTGTAGAGCTTAACTTTTTCTATTTGGTTCAAAAAATATTTAGGGGTACAGTTTTTCTTTTGCTTCACACTCTGATATGGCTTGGCTCAGGCCCAAGTAAAGCAGATAGAACCGGCTGATGGTGTAGATGTGTGGTATAAGCAAAAGGAGGAATTAACGATGCTCCTAGGTTTGAACCTGAGCAAAAGGATGATTGGTGATGTCGTTATCCTGATGGGTAACCTTGGGAGAGAGGAGACGTGGTGCATAAAAATAAAGTTTGAGATACTGGTTAGATACGCCCATAGGGGATGTCTAATAAGTCCTTTAGGTCTTCAGGAATCTCATTTCTGTCTCCATGGCTGGCTGTTCTCCTCTTTACAGACCAGCTTTCTTGGCAAAGATCTTAGAACTTCCTGATGACTTTGGCATCATGGGTTTTGGTGCCGTAGTTCTAATTTGGGCCACCACAGTCTATAATCTCACCATTCAATGCCAGTTGACTGACTCATTCTTCAAGCTTAGTTTCAAATACTGGAGGGAGAGCCTGTCATGGCTCAGCCAGGGGAAGGTGTTCACCACAGCTCCCATCTACCATAGCTGGCATTGCATGCTGAGCACAGGGCAGCGCAACAAAGTTGGGTGTGGCAGCGAATTGGACATTTCCTCAGGAAACCTTTTTCTGAACCCCAGAGGAAGAGTTGGTATCCTTCCTGCATACTCCTGCAGTTCCCAGAACTTTGTCTTTTCATAGGCAGTATTGTTATTGCCTGCTTCTTATCTGTCTCCCTCACTAAACTGTACAGTCCTTGAGGCAGAGGCTCTGAACCCACAGGACCTAGGAGAAAGTAGATGCTCAATAAGTATTGTTTGAATGAATGAATGAATATGTGAGAAAAAAATACCTGCCGTGAAAATATGATCTCTCTGACTTGCTTGAGAGGAGCTTGCCATGATGAAGAAAGACATGAATAACTGTCAAAACAACACAAAGCAAACCACCACGAAAAAAAAAACCCTGGAGCAATGTACCATGTTTTAGAAAATACAATATTGTTTTAGAATTTTCTGTCCTGAAGGGTTAGATCTTGCAATGGCTATTTGTTAGCTTATTGGGTGTGTGTGTATGTGTGTGTGTGTGTGTGTGTGTATGTATTTTGTGTACAAATACATATACATATGTGTATTTTAACATAAAGTGAGAAAATGTTAGAGTTGAAAGGGATCTTAAGATTTGTTAGTTCAGCCTTTTATTTTCAGAAAACTAAGTCCCAGAGAGGATGAAGACGATTTGCTTAAGATCCCTATGACTTCCACTCTTTGTTTTACTCCGTAGAGTCACTTTCTGTTTAAAGCAATTATTCTTAACTTTTTCTGGGTCAAGGACCCAATATGAAAGAAATCTGTTGAGAACCATGAATCTTCTTTTTGTGGGAAAAGTGTACATAAGCATGTATTAATAAATTGTTCCCCTGAATGTAAAGGGTTCCTTTTAAAACCCATGGATCAAAGAAAAAGAGAATGGGTGGCCAACCAGAGTGAATCTCAGGCATTGATTTAAATGAATTCTTAACGGGATCACCCTGGGTATGTTACCCAGCTTTTCTGAAAGATGGTAAACATCTTAAAGAGTTTTTGTGAGAGCAGTTGAGAGAATGTAAGTGCCTGCATGAGGGGGTACTAAAAAATGGTGGCCACATTTCAAAAGATATGGGATTTTAGGAGTTCTCAAAGGACTCTCAACAAGGCTGTCAAGGATGTATGTGGGGAACTAAACACAATAGGTGTAGCTTGTTTTGCCCCTGGAGCATCTAGGTCAGGAGAATGAGTGCTAATTTCTTGGTGAGAGAGATAAAGAAGAGGATGAAGGCAAGGAGAGTGTGAAAAACTTTAGATAGCAGAAGTGTACAGAGTTAAGGAACAGGCACTTAGACTGGAACGGGAAGGCATCCTTGTCTCTCAGAGTCTGATTCCCTGAGCAGGACTCATTTAATATTTGAATTCTGGCCAGGCGTGGTGGCTCACACCTTAATGCCAGCACTTTGGGAGGCTTGAGGCCACTGGATCATTTGAGGTCAGGAGTTCAAGACCAGTCTGGTCAACATGGTGAAAACCCATCTGGACTAAAAATAAAAAGTTAGCGGGATGTGGTGATGGACTCTGGTAATCCCAGCTACTCAGGAAGCTGAAGTAGGAGAATCACTTGATCTTGGCAGACAGGGGTTGCAGTGAACGGAGGTTGCTGCGAGCCAAGATGGCACCACTGCACTCCAGCCTGGGCGACAGAGTGAGACTCTGTCACGAAAGATAAAAATAAAAAAAATTAAAATTAAATTCCCACCAGTGGAGGAAAGGAGCCATCCTGTAATCACTGTACTAATTCTATGCCTCTGCGCACCCAAACATCTAATGGCTGGATTTGCTTTATTTGTCTGAACTTCCCAGCAGGAGAAATTTAGATCTGGCTACTGAAATTGCTGGAAGCAGACTCATCAGGACAGGAAGGAAATGACTGCTCTATCCCTGCAAATTGACTACTCAGTGAAAGAGACCGAGTTTAAAGACGCCCATGGCTATCCCAGTACCCTCCCTAATATAAAATGGCAGCAGCTGGGGCTCCAGACTTGTTGAGTGGAAGCTTTTTCCGATGAAAAACTTGTCTAAATCCTCTTGCTCATTACCTTGAGGTGTGTGCGTGTATCAACTCAGAAATCATCTTTCTACCTCAAATTGGGACGATGAAAGCACATTTCAGGGCACAGAAGGGGCACCCAATGAATATGATGGATATGATATTTCTCTTGTTCCTGTCTTTATCTTTCATTCTGTCCTTTCTTTGGGAGAACGAGAAAGTAAAAATCTTATGAAATCCTTTCAACCTCCTAAGGAACAGGAAAGCTGATGGGCGGTGTCAGGGTATGGTAACAACGACCCCCCACTCTTATGCTTAACTTAAAAGATAAGTGCCATCCTTGCCCCTGTCACCAAAGACACCTGACAAGTTCTGGGAGTGCCTGGCAGCTTTTGGAAGCGGGTGCCCGGGAAGGGGCGTCGGGGACAGAAGATGAGGGGCAGGTGTTTCGCGCCGCGGCCTGCAGGGAGGAGGCGCTGCGAAGACCCCAGCCCAGGCCGGGCGCTCTCTGCTGCCCCCCGCGGAGGCGCCCGGGCCCCAGCCCCGGCCCCGGCCCCCCCCCCCACCCTCAGCGGCTCCTCGGGAATGCTGGGAATGTGAGTCAGGGCCTCCGCTAGCGGCGAACGCGCGGGCCGGCCGGGTGGGAGCCCCGCCGAGCGCAGCAGCTGGCAGCGCCGCGCGAGCGCGCGTCTCGGGACTGCGGCGGGTGCCGCCCCCTCGGCCGCCGGCCCCGCCCGACCCCGCGCCGGGCCCCGGCCCTCCGAGCGGTGTCTTCCTCCTTCCCTCCTTCCCTCCGCGTTCCCCGCCCCGCTTCTCCTCCTCTTTCTCCTCCCGCTCCTGCTCGCTGGGTCTCCGGCTCCGGCACCGGCTCCTGCTCCTCCCGGCCGCCCGGGGCCAAGGCGACGTGAGGTTGTAAAAATCCATGTGGGACGGCCCCCGGGCGAGCTACGGAAAGGTGAGACGCCGACGCCAGGGCCGCCTGGTGCCCGGCTTCCTCCGAGCGCCCGTGCCTGGGCAGCCCTCGTGCTGGGTCCCCCTCGCTCGTGGGGAGCTGCAATGCGTTATCTTGGGGAGCCTAGGGGTGAACCATCCGCCTCCTCCGGAGCTTTTTCGGGCGGGGGAGGGATGGGGCGGCCTAAAGGAGGATTTACCTTGATGTATAAACCCCCGGATTGGAACAAGTGCACGGTTTCCTCTGGCGCGCGGGCGCCGCTCGCTCGTCCCGGCGGCCCGGGCCACCTCCCGCAGTCCCTCTCCGGCAGCCACCCTCACTGCCGTCGCCTTTCTTCTCTCAGACCCCCCTCTTTTGCCTGGCGTCCCCTCTTGCCTCGAGGGGTGGGGTGTTCGCGGGGGCGGGGGTCTTGAGCAACCCCAAGCAGAACAAAGTGGAGAAAGGTGGAGCCCCAGCCCAGGGGGTGGGGTGGCTGGCTGCCTGGGTGGGCTCCGAGGGGAGCATGTTCTTTAAAAAACCCTTGTCAGGGAAAATGAAGCTGATTTATTGGGAAAGGCTAGGGGATGGTGTATGAAAAGGAATACGATGTGAAATTGAACTGAACGGCATCATTTCTTCTCTCCTCCTTCCCATCTCCTACTTATACAAAAAAGAGATACTTACGAAGGTGCACCCAATTTAAAAAAATAGCGTACGAGCCTTTGAAAGATCATCTTAGGACAGTGAAGATTAAGGGCTGCTTTGGTTCGGGGTAATAAAATAGCGCTCGTAAACTCTCCTTTCGGCCCTGCCTTATTTATTTTGTACCTAAAGGTCTCTGTTCTCCTTTCCAGAGAGGGAGGGTCCGCTCTTTTAGGAGTGCATCGATTTTAGCCTGCTACCTGCCTTTGCTGGATGAAAGGCAATTTACTCCCGGAGCAGTGAATTGTCAGTTCCCTCTTTGATTGACAGCCACACCTGCCACTTAAGTGGGTAGAATGGGGACCGGTGGAATCCAAAGAGCCAATCAATGCTCGGGAGAGGAGGGCAGCTCCCACTTGTCATGGTTAGTTTCCTGGTTGGCTCTTTAAATCAGTGGTTTTACTTAACCATTGGTTTCCACCAGTTATGGGGATCCAGCTGTGAGAGGCAGACGAACGGGAAGAAAACTCTTTGAAAATGGGCCTTTAGAAGCAAGTATATTTGACCTGTGTTTCCTTGTCCTCCCCATCCCCTACCCTCCAACCCCTGATTATTAGTTGTAGTAGTTGTGGATGCCGAGGCCATTGGCTTAAAAACGAAAATGAAATGAATCTGTGTAAAGAATGAATAGGGGGAGGGGGTGTTAGAATGGCCCACCTATTTCTCCAGAATTGCAGTCTTTATAAGAGATACCATGTACCGTTGAGCTATCCGGCAAAGGGTGTGGCACTTTGTCTCCTATGGTCACTCTTGTCCTTGTAAAGTCACATTGTTTCTCAGTATACAGTACTTGGGTCTTGGCGCTACTGGATGGATTTGTAAGAGATTTTTGAAGCCGGCAAACGTTCTTTATCGGGAGTCACATGAATAGAAGGGATTCTTTTAGTTCTGACAGTTAACTCAACTTCTGGAAGTGAGGGCTGCCTTGTTCTCTTTTGCAGAGTGTCAGTTTGGTGGTGGTGGTGGGGACAAGCTGTTTTCTTTCCAAGGAGTAGTAGACTTTGCCTTTTTCTCGTGTAAGCCATCTTGTCTGTTTGCTTCTGTGCTTTCATAAGATACTTTTGCAGTTTTAGCAGGGAGGGGAATGGAAGGTGATGGTGTCACAGTTTTTACCAGCAAGACTTTCATGGGTGGATAAATCAACGATGAAGGACCAGATCCTTATCAACTCACTGCTAGTGAAAGGCTGATTTTTCAACACCCTTCTCCCTGAATTCATTGGTAAATTACTGACTGATCCAAAGAATGGTCACTTTGTAGAAGCTGTACCTGGATGTGAACATAATGCTGTGAATTAAGCATTTCATAAATAGACTGTGAACCAGAATATACTGATTAGGATGGTTTTCATGTAAAAGCCAGGTTTTTAAGGCAGCATTATTACTATTACTATCATCATCATCATTATTGCATATGCAAGCACTTTGTTGGGTACTTTATATGCATTATCTTTTTTAAACCTTGTACAGCCCCTGTGCGGTAGGTACTATTGTTATGCCCAAATTATAGATGAGTAACTAGAAGGAATTAAGTATTTGGCTACAGTTTACTATGAAAGCAAGAACCTGAGCTCAGGTTTGTCTTACCCAGAGCCTATGACCTTGGCCACGGCCTTGCCTTCAAATTTTGGTTGTGTAGTCTGCATGTGTCCAGTCTGAAGGTGTGGGTTCTCCCGACATACATAGAGCTAACCCTTTTAAGAGTTCACTGTGATTCTGACAGTCCTTTGTCAACCTGTTTTGCCTTTCCATTTGAAGGCTGTGGCATGGTCCAATAGGCAAATTTAGTAACTTTGTTTACTATATATGTTTCCAGTAGATCAATTTTGGCTCAATAGAAATTTAGTTCCAAACTTGATGACCTAAACGAAGGTAAAACAAAACAAAATTCACACTCTTCCATTTTTCTTGACACCTTAAATTTCCGATTGGAGTTCTAAATAGATCTTGGTTGAATAAATGCTCTTAACATCATTCGAGTTTTATTTTCTTTGTTATTTACGGAGACTCTTCCCATTAGTGATTAGATATGATATTTAAAGTTATTCTCTTGTAATAGCACGGTCCTCTTGTTTTATTTTATTTTATTTTTGAAATGTTGTCTTGCTCTGTCACCCAGGCTGCAGTGCAGTGGTACGATCTCGGCTCACTGCAACCACCCCTGGATACAAGCGATTCTTCTGCCTCAGCCTCCCAAGTAGCTGGGATTACAGGCACCTGCCACCATGCCTGGCTAATTTCTGTAGTTTTAGTAGAGATGAGGTTTCACCATGTTGGCCAAGCTGGTCTCGAACTCCTGACCTCGGGTGATTTGCCTGCCTTGACCTCCCAAAATGCTGGCATTACAGGTGTGAGCCACGGTGCCCAGCCCCCTTGCTTTATTATGTTGGAAAAGCTACTAGATATAAGCCTTATCAGTCTCTTTCCATTGGTGAAAAATCAGTGGTGAAGGTTTGCCAAAACAGGTATCCTGATAAATACAGTGAATGGTGTTGGAGTCCACAAATTTACCTACGGAGTCTTTGACTTTCGTTAGGTTGACTTTTGCACAATCTGCATTTGTTTGTTTTACTAGGACATCCTCTAGCCTTTTTTTTTCTTTTTTAAATCTGCTAACCAGTTAACATTTTGGCTAGTCCATGGGGCACCTGCTTGCCAGCCAACAGTTTCAGTTTCAGCAGTGTTTATGCTGTTTATATTTTATTGTGATTTTCTTAGTTTAGAAAGATAAGATGAATGGAAAACACAAAAAATCCCTGATATTCATGATAATGTAGGTCTCATAAATTTAAAACAGTTGATCCAAGGGTAGAAATCACTGGATGTACGAAACATGGAGATTTTTCAGCCTGTTTCTTCTTATGTGAAGGAAGGGAACAAAATGAATGAACATATAAGACATGCTAACATATATAAAATGTTAAGATATATTAGTGAGCTTTGGCAGTGTAACAAAACTCCCTGACTTACAGCAACAGGTATATATTTTCACACTCATGGGTCTTTGGGTTGCCCATGATTTGGCTGGTTTAGGCTGGTCTCCTTCGGGTGGCTGTGCCGAGGCTGTGGGGTGGGTTCCAGTCTGCTCCACATGTGTCCTGGGGCCCAGGCTGCAGGGATGGCAGCTACTTGGCACACGCCCTTCTCCTGGCAGATCACTGGAGCCAAGAGGCAAATGGCACAAGCAAATGTCACTTCTAGTGACAACCTATTTTGGACAAAGCAAGTCACATGGGAAAGCCCAACACTTGTGTGTTAAAGTAGATTCTTTTCACAGTAGGGGAGCAAATATTTGATGAACTATCATCACAGCATGTAAAAATTATGGTTAGAAGATTTTCTGATTTTTTATTTTTCTTGGGGAATGTAATTTTCATCCCCTCACTCCTAGCAGTAGCTATGTGACATATAAACCTGGTCCTTAACTTCTGCATTTCAGGATCGAACATATACTGTGTTTGATTTTAGAGGGCTGGCTGTAAAGCAGGTTGGTGTATATGCATGAATTGCTTAAATTATTAAGGCATTATTTATTAGAACCTACTATGTTCCAAGAGACAATGTTCAGTGCAATGGTGAACGCAGTTTTTGTCCCTTGTGGGTTCTGCCATTATAAAACTTATCATTAGGAATAGATGTAAGGAAGGACTTCTTGGATGCAATGACATTTTCCTGGACCTTCAAGCAGGGAGAGAGTTGGAGATGTAGAGAGAGCAATGGATGCCATAAAAATGTTGGGGGATATATGGATATAATGAGTTATTCCCCTTGGCCAGAGAGTAAGAAAGGTGGATAACAACAACGATAATAATTATAACAGTAGTATTTATAGCTTAACTTCCGTTGGGCAGTTAACTATGTGCTAGGCACTGTGCTTAGCACTTTCCATAAAATATCTAATTTAATATTGGGTAGGCCTTGCTGGTTGCCTACCCAACATTCATTTTCTCCTTTCTAACTAAAAGAACCCCAATTTTGTTTGAGATGGAAATAAGCCCACTTCACCTTCCCAAGACTCTGATAATGACAGGTGGAAGTTGTTGAGTGGAGGCTTTCCTGAAAATGTAGTGAGTGGGGCACACCTGGCTGGTATACTCCAAGAGCTTTTCAGCTCTTCCTGCTGCTTGCTGCTGGGATCATTGGTGCAATGCCTGGAAGGGCAGCAGCCAACTACAACAATGAAGATAAAGCCATAGTTTTTGTTTTGTTTGCTTTTGAGACAGGGCCTCACTCTGTCACCCAGGCTGGAGTTCAGTGGGATGATCTCAGTTCATGCAGCCTTGACTTCCCCAGCTCAAGTGATCCTGCCACCTCAGCCTTCTG